ATGCATGACTGGAATTTTGCACCAAGGACAAGGATTTTTCATCGACTTCGCCATCAAGTTCCTTCATGTGTGATATCTTGGTGTTGTCATATATAAATTCCATAAGACGAGAGATACAATTTAACTTCGTGTAACAAATGGATATACGCGATACCAAACGCAAACGAAAATCTAAGCTACAGCGAGCAATTGACATTTTCAACGCGGCTGGAGAATTGGCAGGCTCGGTGTTCACCTCGTAATTCGAGGAAAGAAGGTCGATACCTAACCGCAGAAAAGTACAGAGATGAAAAGGGACCTGACCACGAGATTGTGGTACATGGACGGATGAGTCGCGGCCAGACGATGGATTCACGACATTTATGCATTTAAGGGGACAATGTTCGAACAACGAATAACACGAATAACGCAATTGATTTATTAATGGATGAATACAGATAAAAAAGTCGATTTCTAAAAGAACTGTTGTCATTTTTAACGAGTAAAATATTATTTTTAACGTCGACTGGCAATAATTATTATATTAATAATACGACAATCAATTTTTATATTGATAAAAAACTAGAAAGGAAAAGTTTCCTTCCTGCGTAAAAACTTTGGTTTCAAAAATTCTTACTGTAAATCGCTAAACAATTTTCAGAGCGGAGAAGACTAATAGATATTAAATCGTATGAATGACAGCTTTGTGTTTAACCAGTGGAAATATGGAAATACCGATGAAATGATAGTCGCATCCTATTAAATCGTTATATCGTTCCTGGCGTTTTGTTTGTGACAATTACTCTGACGCCAACGTGATACATAAGCGCGCATGAATGACAGAGATTCCATTGAATCGAGCTGCACACGCCTAAATATAGGGTTAAGTTCTAATCTGGCACGCAACCGGAAACACCAGTGGTTTGCCAAACAATGCTTTCGAAAAAAAAAAGAGCATAACAATGGAAAACAATAACGACAGACGGTGCGTGCAATATATACATTCACGCAAGGGAAGCTTTGGTCAGTATTTCCCTGCTGTTGTTCTCATTGCATCAATTTCCTAGACGCATTTTTCGGAAAAATTAATTTTTCCACGGATGTTTCGTCTTACTTTCATCTCGCGTGAAGCTATGAAATTCAAATTTCACATTTAAGGGAATTTCCTGTAACACTCTTGGAATAGCTAACTGATGAAATTCATATTAAAATTTGACCGAAAAGAACGTTTTCTATCATCAGTATCTTTAATTTGGTAGAAAAATGATAATGATTAATTCGATAAGACAATTTATGAAATTTATATGTAGCGGACTTCAAAGGTAGATAAGATAAGTCGATATGTTTCCAATTATAAGATAGTCATCTATACCAAGAATGCTATACAACTTGGCTCTTACGACCAAAAAATATTTTCAATTAAAATTGCTCAATCTTAATCGCTCGAATTAAAAACGGAATTCCCCCAACCAATTTATCAATTTTTCTTTATGCTGTTAATTTAACAGGATGAAGAAACACGTGTCCACTTTCATCTATCAGCAATTGCGAGTACATACACACACACACACACACACATACGCACATTTTCTGCAATTTGCCAGCCACTGTTGAGGAAACGCATTTCTTTTATGCGGTCCAGCAACAAAGGCCGTTCCAACACAAAGGTATGCAGTATGCACGCGACGTGAAAGCACCGTGAAAACGGATTAAGCGTTTCATGGTGTTACATGTGCGTTAAGCTTGATATATATAAGCTCGTGCGTACATGTATACTCAAAAGAAAATTAATCCGCGCTCCTTCTCCGGTGGCAAGCAAGATTGCAACTTCTTTTTCTTTGATTTTTTTCATCTCCGCGCTCGCGAAATTCGACTTGGCTTTGAATATTAAAGAGAGATTCTCGATGAAGCCGAGAATTCATTAACGACCAGAGTGCTCGTTTACTCGGAATATTATATGTAAATTTTCTGGATTGTAAATCTTACGCAACTTATTATCGTTGTGTAGCATACCTTGAACTGAAATAAAAGCAATCAAATTGATGTGTTTTGACGGGATCGCTTGTTTTTCGTTTTCGTACATTTGAAATTTAAATGAAACTGGTTTTATCGGTCTTAAGCTAGCTCCGCGAAAGACTGTGTAAAATTTAATGTGAATAAATAATATAAAAAAACAGAAGAGAATGTAAATGAGAGATGATTTAATCTGCATAAATATAAGTGTAAGCATATAGCTTGATACGAAAGTTGTACCGTTACCGACGGAAATTATCATTCCATATACCTATAAATATTATCGAGGTGATGCCCCAAACTGGTTTTAGGTATTTGGTACGGCATACAAAACATGGCTGTGGTCCAGCACAGCTGCACGATCAACTGGTTTTCCTAATTTCTTTACCTTACGGTCGACTGGATACATAGTCATTGATTATAAGCGTAAATAAACAATAAATATTGTACTAAATAAACAATAAGCATTAATTGCATTAAAACGATGTACCGAGTTCGTTTATAATTTTTAATCATTTATAATTGTTAATCACAATAATACAAAATTATAATATAATTACCAATCATAAAACAAGAATGAACACGTTTTATTTATTTATTTTTTCAAATCTTTATTTGCTTCCTTTGTTATTTCACTATTCTACTTTTCTATATTTCGTTTATAGTACAATAAAAATATATAGATCCTAATTTGTAAATGATTTATTTAAAAATTAATCTATACAAATAAAGTAAAATAATAACTTGCGATAATAGTAAAAAATCAAAATATACATTTTGAAATTTTAATCGTCATCAGAGGCGCCACTGACTAATAGCATGGTTTTTAAATAGAATATGTTTTGAGTGTGAATACGTCATGAATGATACTATAAATGCAAGCAAGTAAAGAGTAGGAGTACAACTGTCGGTCATAAATAGTCTGACAGGAGAAAATTCTCTCATTTAAAACTATTAAATCAGTCTGTGAATTTCTATAGCATATATTAATTCTTTTAATAGTTAAAAAAAAAAGATAAAACATTGAAAATCATGGTAAGTAAAGAAGTTTTTAGTAGTAGAGGTTATGTTTCCTTGAACATCTACAATTCCTAATAAGGGATGCCTTGTATTATAGTATAAAAATATAACGTTAAATATTTTTGCAACTGTCTGGACACAACAAAATGTAAAATGAAATATAAAAAATATTTATATTATTTGCCGAGTCAATTTTTATTATATAAATTAGTTAATCTAAATTAGCCATACAAAATGTATAACATATGGTTTTATTGACATAGCAAGATCCAAATGAAGATACAGAGTGGAATGATATTCTTAGAAAAAAAGGAATTATACCGGAGAAAGAAAAGGAAGTTACAGAAGATCAAATCATCGATATTGTGGATAATACTATAAATGAAAAAACCGGGCGTGGTATTTGAATGTTTATTCTACTCATTTCATATTGACGTAATTCCAAACTGATATTTATTTAAGTATAATCTTATCTTTTACAGCTGCTAATGATTTAGAAAATAAGACGCTAGATGAATTGGATGAATTAGAAGATGAAGAAGATGAAGAAGTTTTATTGGAATATCGGAGGAAGAGAATAGCAGAAATGAAAGCGTTAGCTAGCAAATCTAAATATGGTGAAGTTAAAGAAATAATAGCAAAGGATTATGTTCAAGAAGTAAACAATGCAGGAAATGATATTTGGGTTATACTTCATTTATATAAACCTGGGTATGATAAATATATATTTAGAAATGTAAAATCTAAGAAGAATCTTATGTGATTCTGATTATTGTTTCAGCATTCCCCTGTGTACACTAGTAAATCAATATTTAGCCAACTTAGCAAGAAAATTTCCTGCAACAAAATTTTTAAAAAGTATTTCAAGTATTTGCATTCCACATTGGCCTGATCGCAATCTTCCTACAATTTTTGTCTATTACAATGGAAATATAGTAAAACAGATCGTTGGTGCTATAGAATTAAGAGGCATGAAATTAACTGAAGAAGGTATAATTTATTGAAAAACCTATTCTGATAATTTATCTCAGTTATATGGATATTAATATAAATCTGTGTTCTTACAGAGCTAGAATGGATACTAGGACAGGCAAAAGCTATACCAACAAAAATTACTAAAGATCCAAAGCCAAAAATCAGGGATGTATTATTTTCTACATTAAGGCATGAAAACAATAATGATGTTGATGATGATGATGATGATGATGATCCTGATAGTAATGATTGGTAACCCATCTATATTAAATATTTACAGAAATTGATTTACTATGTTTGAATCTGTCAAACATAAAACATTTTATTTATTTCAATGTCATATATGTTCTGTCACACAAGAATCGTCTTTTGTTTACTTTAAAATTTTATTATTATAAGTAATATTCATACTGCCGCAATAAAATATTTTGTTATCATATTATCAGTTACAAAATTATTAATTTCTACCATATTTTCTACACCTTTATCACATAATATTTTCATAAACTCAGAATACAGAATATAACATACAATTTACTTTCAAATGGAAAATCGCAATCTAACCTTATTTGTATATATATGTATATTGCGATTCTCTAATGGAATATTATACTGTCCAAATTTCTTAAATGATATATAAATATATAATATAAATAATATAATAAAAAACGAAGTAATATAATATAAATTTAACTTACAAGAACATACGGTGTGGGTTATTATCAATGAATCGTTTCGAAATTCGATATTTGCATTTTTAGTTTGCTGATGAATTTTGACAAATCTATATAGATAATACGAAAAAGTAATAAATTAAACGATACAAAGATTTAAAATTATTAAAGAATATGGTATCACGCGTACATATTTTCCATCTTAGGACGCAGCTGTAATTTTTTAGGAATGTTTACATTGTCATTCAAGGACTTCTCGGGTTTCGTTCTTTATCCAAGCACAACAGCACACTGACACTGTATAATTTCACGGAACGGAGTTTAGTTTAGTTTCTATCGCTGATCGTAACACAGAACGCAACAAATGAGAAAGTAGAAATTAAAACGGTTCAAAAATTACAGTAACATTTATATTTGTTTGTAATATTGAAGAAAATTGTAATAACTGGTAAGACGTGAGGGTAAAATGTGAAGGTGTTCGTACTTAGTGTCAAACGTTTAAATTCTGGTCAGGAAAACTAGGTAAGCCTTTATATGAAAACCGGCTTATTAAAACAGAAAGAAATTCTTTATCCGCTGACAGAAATAGTTCTTATTATTTTAGTATTAAAATAATTCTTTCTTATTTATTTAATATCTTTTTTTTTTATTTTACTTCTCAAAATGTAATGAATTATTTATAATTTATATTTTTTATAGATTATTCAGATATATCTTTTTAATTGACTCTTTTTATTACACTTTATAGCTATAATGAATAATGCGATATAATCATAGCGTGTAAAATAAATGAAATTAAAAAATTTATTCTATGTGAAGAATATTAAGAAAATTTGAAGAACCAAATAATTGTCTTATATTTCATTGTAATGTAAATTGTTGGAATATGTGTAATGAAAGTTTAGAAAATATATACCAAAACACAATGCAAGACAATGAACAATGTAAAGAAGTTAATATTAATAAAGAGAAAATTTATTTTGTGGAATTAAATAATTCTGAATCTATTAATGTGTATTATAATACTAATACAAAACAAGATATATCGATATTAAATAGAACATCCCGCACAGTTCCTAATATTTTGAAAAGTAATTCAAGATTACATCGAATATTTAAAACAAATGCAGCAAAATCAAACTGTTTTTTTGAAGGTATAACAGATACCAAACAAGTTTTAGTTGTTGCATCAGAGCATACTAGGTCTGGAAATACATTTGCTAAAGAAATTAAACATAAAAAAGTATCAAGAAGAAGGAAGCAAAAATTGAACTATGTGAATACTTATGAACCCAATTGGAATATTTTTTCTTTTGTTGACAAGGAGAAAGAAATGTTAGACAAAAACATCAGTATGTCAACAGAATTAGAAAGTTGTACACAAGAAAGGGAATTAAAACATCATACTAACAAACAGGATAAAAAACAAAGAATGTCTGTTCTTAAAAATGATCAAGAAAGGTCTTCAATGTCAAATCATACATTAACAGATTTTACTTCTGAATGTCAGATTTTTTCATCTTTCGAAGAAATTGATTCAAATAATCTGCAAGATTCAATTGATTTCTCAAGCAATGAAATATTTAATAAATTTAACTATGAATTTTACGACAGCAACAATTTAGAGTGTTGCACAAAATATATAGAGAATTCTGATAACACATACAATTCTTTTAATACAAAATATGATAATAATTATATAAAGGAATATGATATAAATGATAATAAAATTGATACATCCGAGGCATTGACATATTGGTCTTTAACAGACAATGAACAGGGTGAAATAGATGTATCGATAAAAAGATCTATAATGGCTCCGGAATATTGGAATGCAGATCTCAATAATAAAAAACCAAAATGTTCTTCATCTAATTCTTGTTGTGATCATTGCTTTGAAGATTGTGTTTCAAATTGGATTGCAACTAGTGGAGCCAGTATGTTTAGGAAAGATAGACTACTAACAGAAACTTTTAATGATGATTCACAAGTTAATTGTAATAATTCAGATTTACATATCTCTGGTACATACTTGAATGATAATGAGGACAGCAGTAGAACATTGTCACCAATAACTGAAATTGAAAACTCTTTGCAAATTGCAGATGATATTAATCCTGCATTAACCAAATTTTTAAGTTATTCAAATGAAAAAGGTGTCAAAGGAAAAATATTTAAAGAAAAAACATATAAAGAAATACAAGAAGAGAATGTACCAGTGAAAAATTTACGTGTCAAAAATAATAAATCTAAAAATATTAAAAAAAGAAACGAGTAAGTTATTCTTTTTATATCATTTCCATAGTCTAAAAATTTTTTTAAAAACGTGTTTTTTTAAATTGTATTTTCAAAACGTTTATAGAATTGAATAAATTATATAGCGTGGAGGAACTATTTCTTCTCTCTTCCATATTTCAAAAAAAAAAAAAAAAAATATTTATAATATTATTATAATATTTTTGTAAACAAGATTTTTATAATTCAGTGACACATTCTAAATTCTTTCTTAAATTTTGCATTTTATATTTATAGATTTCAGTGTTTATCATGTTCACTAACATTCTCAAGTGCGCGTACAATGGCGATGCATCAAGCTGGAGCACATGGAGGTAAATGTATTATTATTTTGTTCACGATAAGATATGGTGTTTATCATTGAATTTTTTTTTAGGTATGTACATAATACTTTGCGAAAGTTGTGGTAGACTTTTCAATCGAAAATATCATTTCAATAGGCATTTCATTCACTGTGGGCGCACGAAAGAACCTTTTAAGTGTGACATGTGCTTTAGGAAATATAGGTAAAAATTTTCACACCTCATGATTTGTTAGTTTTTTTATTCACAGGAAATTGCTTTCAGACACAAGTCGTCTCTAGTTCATCATCTAAAAGAAGCTCACGAAGTTTGCTATGCTCGTTCAAAGAAATTTACTTGTAGTGTATGCCAAAAAGTTTATAGTAAATTTGGTGCTTTTCAAAATCACGTAAAATCCCATAGAAACGCTCAGTAAGTTTAATTTGCTGATAATATAAAAAAAACCAAATATATTTAGTAATATTATTGCTATTTAAGTTTCATTGGTATAATTTAATTATAAATAGGTTATTGAAATATAATATTTATACTTATTGTTTATTTTGTGACGTTATCTTTTCGAAGATATTATTTTTGTTAAGTATGAGTTAGATTCAATTACAAAATATTGTTTAGTAACACTTGATATAATATAAAAAAAAGTTACTATCGTTATAGATGAAAATATAGTATTTTTTATACTAAGTATTTTATATATTCTATTTTCGTTATTAAATTAAATACTGTTTTGTTATTTACGTATAATATAACTTTTATTTATATTGACTAAAGGACCACAATATTTTAAACCAAATATTTTTGATATATGATTTATATATAACCAATATATAGATTAAAATTATAGTATTATATAATTTAGATTTAACAGATGCGATGGGATGGAATAAAAGTACCTTCCTTTTTCATTTTCGAGATTGTTACAATTCATATTATAGAAAGTATTCTATTCTTGTGTCTCTATTTAATAAAATTGTAATTGTCTCAGATGTAAAAGATGTGATTGTAAAATAAAAGTAAGTAATATAAAATAATTAACCATATAATTTTAATATAATACTTGATAATATATATTTATGTATAACGATCGAATAAATTTTATTTTCAAAGATATTTTTGTTTTGTCCAGATATATTTGACTTTTTGTAAACTTAATCAACGTGGAAAATAATTTCTGCCTACGAAAAAAAATAAAAGGAAACAACTGATGTTACATACGTACCAATACAAAGAAAGTATTTAAAGTCAAACATCTAATGTTGTCTCACGTAACATTTAATACTTCATCCTCATTTTATTAAAGAAAAATTACTAAATTTTCATTTGATATCTATGAAAAATACAATAAAAGACAAACGTACAAATAATTCAAATCAATCATACTTCTATTTTTATTTTAACTTGATAAATAAAAGAATGTCAATTTCAGTTGTTAATCATAGTTTTCGAAATGATCTTAGAGATTCATTTTGATTCATGTGAATTTTTATGTGATATGGATGTCATGGTTTATCCTATTATTAACTTTCTTCCTGAGAGTATTACCGTGTATGCCATTAAAGAAAAGCAAAAAAATTGACATCGTGATAAAGTCCACGAACCATTTCGACGGAGGAAAGCATTTATTGAGCCTCTATAAATCGAATAGCATTGTGCTTCATTGGTTTATCTTGATCGTGTATATTCGAGATAAAATTTATTAAATTTTCGTTCCCGCCATCGATTTCCTTGTCTGAGCAAAGGTTAATTTTTTATTCATTTATTTACTCGTGAATGAAAAAGTATTTATTTTATAGATATTACTTATTCATTTTCTTTATATAAATGAATACTTCAAGTAACGATAAAACAATTTTTGCAAAAATATAAATCGTCGATTTAATCTGTATAAATATATGGGAAAGATAACGCAGTATATTTATTGCTGAGTTTAAAAGCAAAATTTCAAATTTGGAAATTATGCAAATTCAATACATTACCATATGAACTATCAGATTAAAGAAAAATATAAACAAAAATTAAAAGCAATTTCGAGTAGTTCGTGATTCTAGTTATGATATTATTTTTTGAAATATCGAAGATTCGTTGCTCTTTACGTAGTTTTCGTTTATAAATTGTAAAAAAGTTCTATCTCGTATACCTTAGAATATACAGAACATGTCGAGGTAGTACACTGGATCTAAAATACAATTCTGTCGTTCTTACTGCTACACAACTTATAAAAAAAAATTTTAGTTGCTTACATATTTTTTGCTTATTTTAGTTATTTCATGTAAAGGCAATTTTTTTCACGCTTTTTAATGCTTATGATTGTTGATAAATAGATCGTTAATTATATCCTGTTAATTAACACGCTGACATTTACATTGAAAAGAGTAAACGGAAATGTTAAAGGTCTAATAATAAAGTTTACGAAATATGTAATACTTTATTCAATGAAGATTGTTAGATCATCCCGTGGGAAATAAATTTATCTTCTTATCGTCTCTGTAAATTTCTCTTAATAAATTCTCTTCTCGTTCTGCATTTTTTAAAAATTAAACACTTCAAGAGCAATAGGACGCCACTTTGTTAATTATTTTATTTCTTATTAATACAACAAAATTCTACTACTTCTTCTTATATTACAAGACAATACAAGTAAATACGAATTTTGTATTTAAGCATCTGATGTACAAGCACTCGGTCTTCAATGTTTTCAAAGCAATGAAATTAAAACACCGTTGACATCTAAATTATTTAAATCGTGAAACCTGCAAAATATAAAATGAAAGATACATTATCAATGGACCGTACGTGAAAAGAACAAGAGTGAGAAAAATCCCTTATGATGACGGAAAGTGACAGCGATGAACCGTGAAGGATAGTGCGCACCATAGTGAACCCGTTAACGAAAAGGGATGATGTCGGTGGCGCCGCGGCCGGTCAAAATTTGAACAAATGCTTGCGCCGGAACCGCGCAGATCGTCCTCAGTAGTTGCCCAGACGCTGTCACGGGCGTAGCTGGATGCTGGATTGTCTCTCTCTCTCGTGCGCGCGCGTGCCGCAGGGAGGTGCTTCCTTTTCTTCTTCCTCTTCCTCCTAACCTCGTCCTACTCGTCGCTTGTATCGGTCGACGAACAACGCCGTGGACGTCACGATTCTTCGATGCTGCGGATATCGTACGACTCGGTCATCGGTTCACCATCCTAACGAGAAGAAGAAAAGGTGCCGGAGAAAAGGGAGGCCGATGAGGTTTCCTGCCGGTCGGTGAGAGAGAGAGAGAGAGAGAGAGAGAGAGAGAGAGAGAGAGAGAGAGAGAGAGAGTGAGAGGAGGGGGTGGAGTGAGATAGTGAAAGGGATTCGACAAGGAAAGGCAACCGACAGAAACAACGAGAGACCGGTAAAATCGGGAAACAAAGATGGTGTGAGAGAAACAGACAAAGTAACGAGGGGAATACGGGAGCAGCAGAGAAAGATTTCGGAAGGAAAGCTGTCCGGGAGGGGTGGAGATGTGTTGAAGTGTGTTCTTGTGTATATATATGGTGCAGTGCGGTGCTGTGCTCGAGAGAGAGAATGGCGTGGTCGGATTTCGCGTGTACCTCGCCGTGACGTGGAAAGGTAAGGATCATGTCTAATTTTCATTTTTTTCCCTTTCCTTTCTTTCACGACCTCTGTCGTTCATTGATAGACTGTTCGTTCGATAGCGAACATCAGGATGTTTCCGTGGTTCTCTGTCGATTAGCAGCGAGAGTCGAGTTTCTTATTCGATTGACAGTGCCCGCCGAAGCCAATAATTGGCTTCGATTCGAGCAATGATCCGTCTGTCGGTCAGTCGCCGGTGCCGCGTGCGCCCCTGTCGCCTGACTTATCCTTTTCGCTACCACTGCGAAGCTCGTCGGCATGTCTGGCACAATCGGAGCATCGCTCCTTCGTTTAACCGTTTTTTCAAACGCATTCGTCGCGTGGCTCATCGCGATCATTATTATTATTCATCTGACTACTTGTCATAATCATTTACTGGGTGAAACAAACCTTTGTTTGAATTTCATTTTTGTTAATTGTTGTCAACAAATTCGCAGTCCAGTCACGAAAATTAGAAGGAAGTAAATAGAATTTTATTTACTGCGTTTATTAGCGCGACTGTATTCTATTACAATGGAGCATTCCGATGCTTCGGCATTCCAATGGCATTACCAAAAGTGACTACGCAGACTACGTTTCTCGTATCTTGCGCGACGTTAGATACTTGATAATTAAAGAATGGAAATATTTTCATGTACTTAAGTTTTAATAACAAATTTTGTTCTGCATTTGTATTTCATTTCAAATGAATTATCGAAAATTGGAAATATTGTTCGATATCATGTTCAGAGGAAATTGAATTGAAAGTGTTCGTATTTGCATGTACGTAGCATGTTGAGAGATTTCATTTTGGAGTTTGGAGCATGCATTCTTCATCTAAGTTTAGAACGGAGGATGTACTGTTTAAGTTCATTCTTGTCGTAATAGGAACATTCGTATCAAAATTTCACTTTATTATATTACATCGATAGATTCGATTATGTTGTTACATTATATTACATCGATAAATTAGGTTATGTTACATTAAGTACATACTCAGCAAATATTGTAAAAAAAAATTCAACTGTGTCATATATTTGCATTCTTTACAGTAAATAAAATATCATGACAGATTGTATAGGACAAATTAACATTGCATTTGAATCAATATTGGAAAAATTAAAATAACTAAAATCGTACTAAATTTAGAAACTACAAAGTACAGTCAATGTAAAAATTTTACTCTCTTAAAATGAGTTGAACTGTTTTAATTGAACAAGGTGCAGATGTTTCGATGCTCCACGTGCAGTACAACTCGATGTCATACGAGTCACTAAATGATATCAAAACATATCAAGTGCTGGAAACACAGAAACTATCTTTGCTAGGAAAAAAATTTGTTTGTCAGTTTATTTTAATTTCATTTAATTTTCATATTTATTCTTTTTCATGTTTAAAAAACAGTACGATACGTAGAAGATTTATTCTTCGTTTGAACAACTCGAATGTTTTTTAATTCGTTTTTATATTTTCTGAATCTTTTTTTTTCTTCTTTTTTTTTTTTTTTTGATATAAAATTCGTATTCCACGAATCATTCCATCAATTTCCAAAATTATTTAATGCATTACCGACGGCAAAGCTACGAAGGACCAGATTTTACATGGGCCAATGAATTATGGGAGTTGAACTCCATCATCAACGCTTCTCCAATTCATTTTAACACGTTTCGTCAGTAGTCCCTCTGGTATAACTCCATTAGAGATGTCAACACGATGACGCTCGGACGTATTCACATACGTTCTAAACTACATCCCGGGGTTGTACCTTAACTGCGTTATCACCGTATGCTGGCTGGCCGTTTGTGACGTTGATAAGCACGTGTCAAGCATAGGTTGTGGCACCGAATCGGAAAGCTTGTTAGACAAGTCTTCGTTGAACGTTTCAAAGCAGCTTCGCTGATGCTTTTAGTTGGTCCGAACGAAATTGCGTGCCCCTTCAACCGAAGGAAAATCGAGTTCTGTTTAAAATCAAATTGCCATTTGCAAACATACCATAAACGCTATATCCAACGGTAATGTTTCTCGTACAGCTACCACATTTACTTTCCGTTATCCTTGAACGGATAAACGATTTTATTTGCAAATATTTCGTTTCATAACGGTATATGATTTAATCATTCTCGCGAGATTTTTCTTTGTTAAACTTCCATGTTGTTGCACGATTCTATAGTTTCTGTCATTCGTAAATACTCGATTAGTTTTGGGAGATTTTTCTCGAGTAGAATTCGACTGTAGGATTTTATTTGCACCACGTTAACTTGCTCGATGTTTACTTACTGTGTTTCCCTGCGAACTTGCACGCGCACAGGAGGAATTTGTTCTTAATATGTTCACAACATTGGCGCGAACTTTTTTTAAACTTCGTTGTACGAGGGGACGTATCGAACCACGAAAAAAACAGCTTTGAACTTATTTTAATATTGCAAAGAAGGGTGTATTTTAAGAATCTTAAAATAAACTGTTGGTGACCTTGGCCCTATATACACGATAGTTTAATAAGTTTGCTCAGCGCAACAATTCATACGTTCGCTGTCTCGAGAGTTAGTTGTATCTTTCACTTGAGAACGTGTTGAAGTTACGACATAGAACCGTCGCTAACAGACAATATTTTGAATAAAATAGCTAATTTACGACATGATACGTGCAATGTACTTAATATCGATAAAATGAGAAAAATATTTCACGAGAGAAGATGTTTGAAGTACAAGTAAGTCGGACAACAGTAATTCGAGTTCAATATAAATCAGCGAACTTTAATCGTTACAAATCATTCGCAGATAACGGACGTTCGAATTAATTAATAGAAGTTTCAAACATGTACCCTGCGCTTGTTCAATCGATAGGAATAAAAGTCACGTATTGTCACAGTTGCAGCGCGCCGCTGCGAAAAAAAGAAAAAAGTGACAATAACGCTGTCGAAATCGAAACTCTCTCTCGTTCTAAATTCTCCCGTTTAATTAAGAGATTTGTCGTTGGACCGCGTGGGTTAAATAAAATCGAAATTCTATTTGTCCACGCCTCGTGGAAGAAAATTGTATTTGAACAAAAAA